ATATATTATATATATGGGTTAGTAATTAATCATGCGTATCCATATTCCGATGCAGACGCTCAACTAGGTACATTCTAAGAATGGGCTAGTTGCGTCCAGTGTGGCAGACGTGCCTGGCCATTTCTGTTGAAGTGCTTCGGAGACGAAGGCGCCTCCATGCCAGCCGAAGAGGGGAGAGAAATTTAAAGCCTCCTGCTTGTGGGTTGTTTGGGCTAGCGGAATCATCTAAAAGGGGTCGTTGATCAATGTCTGTTTCTGGGCCTGCTGCACCAGTTGTGACACGTGAGATAATTCCCGAGTCCTCGTTGCTGGTATCTGCCCCTGCGCCATGCGGTCCTGTCCCCAGCTTGGCCAAAGCACTTTTCTGCAGGGCCTGGACTGCATCGCGAAGGTGCTGAGCGTCAGCCCCTGCAGATCGTCGTGCGGCTTCAGCAAGAGACATAACAGGCCCGCTTAAGACCTCTCCTTGACTCTCTTTGGCATCCCCAGGCACGGGTCCTTGAGGGGGGATGTAGGTACTTGACTGTGACTCGGGGGAAGACAAATCGCTGAAGGACCCCGCAGCTAAACGGGCTCCGCTCATCCCACCCTGCACGTGGTGTTTCGGTGAAGGAATTACTGGTCTGTCAAACGACTGCCGCAAAGACGTACTGCCCCCCAATGGTCCCGAATTGTAGGAAGCTGGAAGAGCAGGCCCGGAACCCCAGTATGTAACGGACTTCTGTAGGGAGGTTGCTGCAGCAGCAGTGTATGGAGCAAGGGTAGGGTTACTGAGTGACAGACGGCGAGGGTCTAGTGGAGAGGTAATCACCATAGAGGACAATGGCGGGAATGTCGGTACCACTACTGGCTCATGACCTTCTCCACTTGAAGCTTTTCTTTCCCAAGTACCCAGAGTAGGCTGTGAGGCCTCTCCACTGGGCTGGGGAGCTTCTTCTGTGATTACTAGGGCAAGGGCTGCTTCCGTTTCAACAGTAGCTGTACTTTGTTCCCATGTGCACCTGCTGGGGCTCGTGGCCGCCTGCTGCTGGGTACTTGTGGAGAGGGCCTCCAGCGAAGTTGTGGTGACCCATTTCTCTGCACCCACCCGGCCCTCCATGACGGACTCTAGCCCTGCGACTGAACCCCCGTTGCATTTGGCTTCATACGCCACATCACCGACATCTTGTGGGCTCCCACTGCGCCGTAGACTGTCTAGGAGGGCAGACGGTGAGGAAGCAGCCCTCAGAAGTAGACGGCTTGTGCCAAATGGTCGCTGAAAGACTTGGGACCCTGCGTCGCCGTACAGTGCCTTTACTGACCCTGTTGCAAGATGCTGCACTCCCTCACGCCTTTTCCTCTCTTCAGGAGGCAACGGAGGTCTCCTGATGTCTCGCTTTGGCGCGGCGGTGCGCAGCTTTCGGGTGTCCTCAGGAGCACCTGTTTCCCTCTTGACCCCATCCGACCTGCTGACAAACCCGTGACTCGCCAGCACAACAACAGCGGCACCAATGCCGTGAGGCCTGAGAATTCTGTCACTTAAAAGCCGAATACCTTCCGAAAGCCTAGCAACCGTCCGGAGGGCGTACACTGGTCCACCCATCAGCATGTCGAGGGCTTTGCCCCCTGACCCTCCTGGGGCAGGGGGCAGTTGCAGTTTCCCACATCTTCCACACCTTAAAAAAGGGATTGCTGTCCAGTAGTCTGCTGGGGCATCCCTTTCCGGGGTGCAGGCACCAGGTTCCCTCGCTCCTGGCCAGGTATTACTATCGGGGCCCCACTTTTCGGGGATCGCCCCTTCCTTTGGGTTGCCACATCCACGACGTCCACCGGTGTAAGCTCTCAGGGAGCTGAGCTCTTCAGCCGTCAGCTCCTTAACCTTCGAACTAAAAAAGTTTGCAATGCATGCCCACACCGAGGGAGATGCCAGCTCCTCCAGGGCCCCCTGCAGCGGGTCCGCTGCGCTTCCATCCCGTTGGGAAGCTCCAAGGGCTCCCGGCGTTCGAAGCCCCCGAGATAAGCTGAACGGCACAAGCTTGCCATCGCCTTGTATGAGGAGCACCATAGGCAGTTGGGGAGAGCAGCGGTAGTCCAATATATTCCTATCGAGGTCTAGCACATCCACAAATCCCAGCGTGCAATCTGGGTCGCAGCCAAACTTGAGGGCAAACGAAATCTCCCTTGCGCGTATGCTCCGCCAGAACGAGACAGCACCTGATATTTCAGAACCTGTATGTCTGCCCACACCCCTACTGTAACGGAGGAAGGGCAAGAAGGAAATCCAGGGCCGTCTCCGCCCCCATCTCAAACTGGACCGCAGGCCGCCCTCGCCTATACCGGATGGGACACCCGAGAGCGCACTGCACAGGGCAATCATTTTGTCTGCGCGGCGAGACCTGGCAGAGCGCAGCAGCAACGCTGCAAGGGCGGGGTACAGGAAAGAAAGCGCCCAGTATACCAGGACAAAATAGCGGTTGAAGCCACAGACCGAATTGGCTGCAGCTGCAAAGGCTGCGAACCGGTGCGGGGTTATAAGAGGATCGAGGAAAGGGGGAGGCTGGCCGTCCAGACCCCACGGAGAGTCCGGGGAATTGCGGCCGTGCAGATAAATACGCAGGACGTGGAAGGGCAAGTCTTCATAGGTGAGATGGTGCACTGCCAAGTGCATCAGCCGCTTCTCCTTAGACCCCACAACGTATCCAAGGGAGTTCGAAGGCGACGGCTGCAGCCCACCAAAACCTGAAGGGGTTGCTGCATTCTCCATTCCGCCTTCATCGGGAGGGGATCCCGGGCTTAAAAGCCCAAAAAGAGCCCCGTACGCACAGCCCTGCTGTCCCTGTCTCCAGGCGAGCCCTCTAAATAGGGCACCCAAACCGAGTAGGGCAATACAAATGGCCCCTGTGGGGACAAGCACTCCGAAGGACAGGAGCCGATCTAGTATGAAGAGGAGAGGGGGAAGGCATTTGGGGTTAATGGAGGCATCCGGGAGGCCTGCAGCGCAGGCGAAAGGGCACTGGGGGTGCCCCACTCCTTCGCGAGTGTAAATTGCATCGTCCGACGGCTTGTTCTTGCAGCTAATGCACGCCGTACCGCCGCCAAGAGAGTAGAATCCTACAGGGCAGGGGCTGCAATTCCAACCTGCATAGCCTGGGGGGCATCCAAGGGGGCTCCGCAACTCGCCTGGGGACCCGCGGTGCCCCAAAGGAAGCTGCAGCGGTGCACAAGCTGGTGAAGGATCACTTGCTCCGCCACCTATGTTTAGGGATCCGACGAATCCGCCAGCGTAGTCTAGGGGCTTCAGCCACGGTACATAAGCCTCGGGTACTTGCGGAGTTCCCTCCCCCTCGCCATCCTCTGCTACTTCTTTGCCGATAGGACGGGTGATTGTTCCAGTTTCGCTCCTGCCGGGCTCGCGCTCCTGCTGTGCAGGAGCGCTTCTATTCCAATACAGCGAAGACGTTTCCCACAAGAAGTGGATGGCGCCTCCGCCGCCCCCTCCCCCCGTGCATCGTCCTCCGTGGCCCCCTTGAGCCGAGATTGTGCCGTGGCCCATAAGTGCTCCCGCTTCTATTATTACAGAACCCCCAGCTCCTCCCCCTTGACCCAGCTGGGCAGGATCTGCAAGGATCCCAGAGAGCTGGCAAGAGACACTGTCAAGCGTTGGCGTCCCTTCGCTAGGGGCGTGGGGGTCCGCTGTGCCCCATTTCGCTGCTTCGGGTGTCCCCTGTGCCAAGGATCTTTGCTTTGAGGAGGCCATTCTTGAGGCGGGACGTAGAGCAGGCTCGGACTTCTGTAGCACGTCAGCTGGTGCAGAGCCTACCCCCGTTACGCTCCCTGAATATATGCCTCCGGATGCGGTGTCTGAGCCGATGGGATTGGCCTCTTCGATGCCGTCTGGGGGGGCCTTGAAGGTCTCTACGATGGGAGAAGATCGAGGCGGGCACTTGTCAGGGTCGACCTCAACGTCTATGATGGCTTCCTGCATCGGTTCACCCCCTCCCCCATCCGCCATTATCTGTCCATCCACGGTTACTGTCTGCCCCTGCACCCACACGAACCCGCCCCCGCTACCGGCGCGGGCCAGCTCTCCCCCTCCTCCTGAGGCGCTTGTTGTTGGGGCAAACAAAACTGGGACATTCTCCGTCAGCGACCCCTCTTCGGGAGAAGGCGTACCAACGACCGAAAGCTTGTCAGGAAGCGTAATGCGGGGGCCTCGATCATAGCTGAGGCCTCCACTACCCCTGCACGGCTTGCCAGTCAGCGCGTGAACCCCGTCCCCGCCTGATCCCAGATGGGCTCCTCCGCCCCCCCCACACAACGCAGCCTGGTCAGCCCCAGAGGACCCAGAAGAGAGATCAATACCACTCAAAGAGGCTTCTCCAGCCACTCCTCGGCTGCCAGCCCCAGGTCCTGCATGAGGACAGGCAGAGAAAAAGACAAGCCCTCAAATTCGCAAACAGCAGTACGTCAGAATCTTGTGTGTTTCTATGCAAGGCTGTTCGATGGAAAAACAGAAGGGAACACCACACAGTGCATGAAGGCCACACTAGCAGACCTAAGGGAATTGGAAAGCGTGCATGAAGGCGAACACGGCTGAGCTGACGGCTCATATATATCAGGTGATCTCCCGAATGCCTCACCGTGCAAAGGCTGGCATCCCCGTCGGCTGGCATCGACTACACCCCTCAGCTGCGTGTTGCCTCGGCTCCCGCAGAGCAGAAGGCCCCCCCCAACAAGTGAAGCCCCAGGTTCGACTAGGAGACTCTCTCCAGCGAATATGGCGGCATCTAAGTAGCTCCACGGCGCCTTACCCCCATGCAAAAGCGAGCTAGCTTCCACCGCGCTCAAGGCACTCAAGTTGGTGGGCCTGTATTCCCGGGTGGCTGTTTCTTCACCCACGGCAAGGATCCCACCCGAGCAACCACTGGCAGAACGTGTGGGTCTCTCGAACTCCAGGGGCACTAAGGAGGAGAGGCTGCGCCACAAGAATGACGGAATTCCCAAAGGCGCCAAGGCGGGTGCTGCCCTTTCTGCAGACTCACGGTTCGCACTCTGTTTCGTCTCCTGCTGGACAGGCGTCCCTTGCGATGAAAAAAGGTCAGCCTCTGCCGCAGCTGCGACTGCTCTTGCTGCTTCGTCCGCTGCCGCTTCTGTAGTCTTTGCTTCTTCGCGAGAGACAGTAGACGGATATGGAGGCACGGGACGAGCCTCAAGAGGGAGCTGTTCCAGAGAATCCGGCGATATGTCCGGCTTTAGCAGCTGGGATAGCCGCTCCTCAAGCAGACGACGGCCTCGCCGTAGGGTGCCTCTCGGCTCGTTTAGACCCATAGACGCCAACTCCCAAACCCTTCCCAGTGGATCTACATGTGGACTCTCACTTGTCAAAGGCCTCTTTCCAACAAAAGAGGAGTCACCCTTGGCCAAGGGCTCATACACTCCAGCAGGCCGCTTGTCTGTTGAAGGCTCTTGCCTTCTTGAAAGCAGGCTCGGTATGTCGGATCCCACCAAAGCTGTCTGCTCCCCGTCAATAACAAGACCGCGCACACATCGAATCAGTCGCTGGAACCGAGTCTCGTGTAGACTGGTCTCCTCAGCCAGCTCCTTATTGGCAAAGGCTGACAACGCGCAGCGCCTCCCAAAAGCCTGAAACGTGTTGCTGGCCTGACCCTCCGTCCCGCTTGGGAGGGACCTTGTAGCCCCCACTTGTAAATCCCGTATTGCCGATGGGGCCGTAATAAGACTGCTGGGGAACGGTTGGCTGGTTGCCAGGAGCTCCTCCTCAGCAGCAGGATACCGTTCTGGTGTCATTTGAGTGGCAGCGAAACTCGCTGCCTCCGCAACGGACTGTAGATGTGGCGCAACGTGTATCTTTGTGTATTCTTCCAAGGTATCGCATATGCTGCTGCGGGGACTCGAAGCCTGGCTGCCTGCAGCGGGTCTCCCGTATATAAGCGGAATGGGCTGAGCGTTGCAGCGGTGGGGGCCCCCAACCGTGCAGCTGCCAGCCAGCGTCACGATCCCCTGACTCAGAAGAATGAGGCGATCTAGTTGCTGTTCCCCGCGTAACGAAACTTCACGACCCCCAAACAGCAGCACAGGTGTCTTCCTCAGGGGCGCAGGCAGACAGTCACTGGGAGCTGCCCCCAGGCTGATGGTCCCGTGCAGCAACAGTTGTTCCCCGGCAAGCAACCCTACAGCCACGGGCCCAGTCTCCTGCACGCCGTGCTGCTGGGAGGCTCCTGCAGCGCCGGGATCTCTCCCCCCACAGTGGAATGTTCGTCCCCCAGGGACAATGTGCACTGCAGCGCCCTCGCCGACAGACAATGAGGCAGCACTTGAGACCACAAGAGACGTGGGCCCCAGTAGAGGGTTGCTAGACGTTGCCACTCCTCTCTGCATGCAAGGGGCCCCCTCGGTACTCCCCGTCCCCTCCTCTTCGCTGTTTCCACACGGCGCCAATACAAGAGAGCTGCGCTGCCGTAGGCGAAGGCTGCCCTCCGCTGTGTGCAGATGGAGCGGCGAGAGAACGTGTAGCGCTGAGCCTGCCAAGATATAGAAACACAACAATACACAAGGTAACAGCCTCCAGACCCTTAACAGCCCCCCTCTACACCAAAAAGATTGTTGGTTGGAAGCACAATGCCAGAAAGCGCGACACACACGCAGCATCTACCGTTTCATGTGATATGTCAAGTGCATTGATTGAGAGTTGTCGGTGCCGTGGGGCGGCTGGTTTCTGCAGCTTATTCTTTACAGACCTCGAGTGCCTCCATGCAGCAGCAGACTGCCCACCACTACCCTGGGCTGCTGAGTGTCTGAAGCACTGAGGGGGTCCTCCATGCTGTCGGCCGCAACGTGGGCCCCCCCGCCCCTTTGCTTTCGACCCCTCAGCGTCACCACCGCAGCTTCCACCGCAAGCGTCAGAGTGGGGGCATAAAGCGGTACCGGAAGTGGCGTTGGCTGTACACTCAGCACGGCCAGGGCCTCTAGCCCTGACGGGGTCCCTCCAGGGGACAACTCCGACGGCCCCAAAACCATGTCTGGAGGGGCGCCCCCGGCATCTCGGGCATCACCTATCCAGGGGCTGCCCGTTCCTTCCTGTCCCTCTTTGGCTTTTGGGTCAAAAGCATGGGGGCTGGCCTGTTGCCCGCGAGTGCCCGGGCCCCATCTGCTCGGCGAGAGGTTCACAGTAGCAGTTGCAGCAGCAACAGCAGCAGCAGCGATTGCTGTGAGCTTGTTTGCAACCACTAGCCGGCGATGTGCCCTCGAATAAATAGTGCCACCTCCCCCACAAAGACAAGGCAACAAGTCGAGGCGGCTGCTCCGCAGCGCGCAACCCCCCGGGGCCAGGACCTGCGACCGCCAGACAGCGCACCAGCAACACCTCATAACCACTAATGCAGAGCACAGATGCCACAGTACTAAGGGCCATGGGGGCATGCGAGGGTCCACAGAGTAGAGACCCATCACATCTTGCCCCATGCTGCCGTTAGAATCCACCAGGCGCTCCGCTGGCCCTCCTAGAGGTGCTGGTGTCGAGACAGCCATGTTGCGGAAATAAACTACTGCATCAATTTCACACAACGACCACTTCGTAATAGTTAATGGGGTTTTGCAAACGCATTAAACCCATTGCTAGGATATAGACGTATAAACCAGCAAATGTACACATTTTCTACGTATACAAAATTCAGAAGCCTCACTGGGGCATTGAAAGGGGGGCGCGGCAGTGAAGAACAGCCAGTAGCAAACGCGGCAGGTTGCTCTAAGTATACCCCAAAATTCTTCATTAGCTTACCACCGGGTCCAGGGGATGCGGCTGTTCAGCATATATGGCTATGCGCCCTCCTCCCCCTGCGGCACACAACCCTCCAATGGCCGCCTCCTGCGTACCAGTCACCATGCTCGTCGGGTCTCCTGAGGCCCCCTCCCAGGCTTCAGGGCGGCCCCGCGTGCAGCCTCCGCCCGCCGCGGACACCCGTCCACTCCTCATAGGGCTCGGGAAAACGACAGACTCCCCCATAAGCAGGATGGAGCCCCCGCTGCCTGCGGTTGCACAGGTTGCTTCTTCTGATCCTGCTGCTGATTCTGTTGCAGGACCGCTGCCAACGGCCTGCGTTCCTTCTGCAGACCGCCTGAAGAGATTGCCGAAAAGTATTTTCAGAGGCGCAGCGCCTCTCCAGCTCTTAAGCCCCACGTCTGGGGCCGTTGCAGCTGACCGGGCCTGCCGGAGGCCCTTTGGGGATGGCGTCCCTTGCGCCTCGCATCCCCAGCCGGGCTCTCCAGAAGAACTTATCTGACCCTCAACAGAAAGCTGCCGCCCCGCCACAACAACAACCAGCCCGCCACCCCTAGGTGCCCCTCGATGCTCATTCCCCTGCGCGGAGGGCACGCTCCAGTCGTCCTGAAGGCTCCCCAAGGGCCCCCCAACACCACTCTTATAAAGTACACCTGCCTCTCCAGCTACAAGGGGCAAAAATACGTCTCCCCTCAGCGCAGCAGGGGCCCTCACGGGACTACCTACAACGAGGATTCCGCAGCATCCGTAGCACAGCAGCAGCAGGCCGTAAATTGTGCAGCTGCCTGCACTTGAAAAGGTCTGAGGTGTCTGCAGCGGCAGGCAACAACTTCATCAGCAGACACGTCAGAATGCGGTTTCGCTCACTGAAGGCACTCGCTGAGCAGCGGTCTGTTAATACGCCACCGAGACCCCCATGACTCCCCCCTCGTGGCTGAGGGTCTCCGGGGCTCTTATGCAGAGTCCCCGGAGAAGGGCCCTCTTCATTCTCAGCTGCAGCTGGGGCTGCAGCTGCATCATGAATACTTCTGACAGCCGCGCGGTCGAGGTTCCCCCGAATCGCTTCCCCTCCATGCCCCCCGGAGCCAACGTCGACAACAGAGGCCCCCAGCGCGAGCTGCTGCCGAAGGAAGGCGGCAACGTTGTCAAGCGTCGGACTTGCAGCCAAGGCGGCAAAAGAGTTGTCATCAGACGAGGGGCCCCCAGGAGGGGAGGATGGACCCCTGGGGGGGGTTCTTGAGCCCCGCGGGCTTAAGGGCCCTCGCAAGGAGACCGTCGCAGAGGCTGTCACCTCAGCCGCCTCCCCTATCGTGACGTTGTCCCCCGCCCAGAGCACTGTCTCGCTGCAGTGCAGCTTTGCGGGGCCCAGCAGTCGAATGCTGCCGCGGGCACAGAGTTCAATGCGCTGCGTGAGCACGTGGAGCCCTCTAGAGGCCAACGAGGCCCCCAAACTCACGGTGCCCCCATCCCGGTTCAAGCCCAGATGACGCAAGCCGCGGGAGCTTACAAGGGCCCCCTTCCTCCCCCGCAAACGGCGGCGCAGGCCCCAGACAGCTCTTGCCTCCGCAGCACCTGCGGCCCCATCGCACTTAACTACTGCCCCCCGCACTTCGATGTCTCCACCACTGACTATGCGCAGGCCGTCTACCCACCGTGGCTCGGGAGGGCCCCGTGGAGCACCCTTCAGGGTCCTCCATTTTCCGCGCCAGCGGCGACGCCGCATGAGGCGAAGATACCCCCCAGATATTATGCAGACGCCATCTCGCACGATGTCGCACGCAGCCAAGTCCTCGGGGGCCCCACACACGTCCTGCAATGTCGGGGAAGCCCCGCGAGAGGCCTTCGGGGACTCTTTGGTGAGGGACCTGGTGGGAGGTGCTGTACCCGGCGATTTGTCGAATGCGCCGGCAGGAGGACTGGGCATCGGTGGGCTGAGGATCTGCTGAGGGCTGGAGGGCTGGGGGGCCCCAGGAGCAACCCAGAGACACAGAAGCCACACAGAAAACGACACCAACCTGCACGATAGAGCCATATTGTACACTAAAACAGCTGCAGAAACAGCAGATTTTGCTGCTGGTCCTCACTCTGCAGCGGTCGCTGTTCCCAGGGCTTACAGGTGGGCGACTTTCAATGAGCCTCTCCAGAGTAGCACCAGAAGGACCCTCAGAGAACGGCACCCCGCACCAGCAGAGGGGCCTTCTCCACCCTTGGGGGCCCCTGGCCGGGGGGCAATCAGGCGATAGGCGCTGTCTGCGAGCCTGCTAAAGAAGACATCGAAGGGAGCCCGAGTACGAGTAAGAAGTGAGTCGAGCTTGCCCAGGGAAGTAATGCACCAATATGGCGCACCCTGCCACAAGGCCATTAATTGATATGCAGAGGGAGGTAAGAAATACACGGCGAAAGATTTGTAGACGGCTGCTCAACGCAGTGCAGTCATGAGACACAGGAAGGCACGGTGGGCCCCTATCCCTCTGCGTCGTGTGAGCCACCAATCAGCATACCTTATCCCGTTGCCACTACAGGTCTTTGCTACCAAATTAAATAGGTTATTAACTTTATTGGAGCCAAACTAACTGCGTTTCGCCGGCATTTCACATCGCGATGAAGATCGCCAAAGGTGGTTAATCTCGAGCTGATGGTGGTTGGGGGCCCTTGGGCCTATTCACGACAGCTGAGGCGGGCGAAGCCGACTCATCCGACTGAAAAGACGCAACCCTTGGTATTTCGTTATTTATACATTATAGTTACACCCATGATTTAAAGCCTACCACTGTTTCTTTCTGCACACCACGAGCGATCGCGGATTCCTCACGCACACTTCCGGCATCCCAACTGCTGGCATTATGACTGGCTGCTATTTTGCCCTTCACTTAGGAATTCCATGTATCCAGCCTTTCCCTAAGTACATTAAGCTAACCAGGACAATCACATTGTAGATGGGGAGACAGCTCTGCTAAGGGGGACAATGCCCCCGATTCCATGTACATGTAAGCATCAAAACCACAAGGCGAAGACACCATCTCATGCTGTCTCGCACAGTCTCCACCAGACATAGAAAGCTTAAAATGCTGTCTTTCACGTCGAAGATCGTTGTATCAAAGAACCGGCTTCAGGGTATAGGCGCAGTCTTGTGGCATCCCGCGAAGGACTGCCCATACTCAGTGTAAAGAAACATTCTCTTTGCTTTCGTTCCCTGTTGCACCGATATGGCGGGATGAAGCAGAAAAGAAGGCAATGGCGCCACCTGCAACGATCTCTACACCACTTCGTTTCAGTGTATTGCAAGCATCACGTATATATGTCAATATCTAGGCAAGAAACAAAAAAAGCACAGAGCAGAGGAAACGCCCAAATGCTGTAGTTTCCAAGCAGGGGGGAGGGGGT